TGTGTGTGTGTGTGTGTGTTCCCGGGCGCGCGCGCGCGCCTGGGCGAAAAAGCACCTCAGTCCGGACTGGACACCTGACCTGCCTCGCTTTCCCCCCCTCACTTAACCCCAGTTTCTTCGGGGGATTAGAGACCGCTCCCCGTCAGCCGACGATGAGGAGCTCGTGCCCTCTGTGGCGGTGCCCGGAGAGTCGCTTGCCTGGAGGGAAGCGGAGGGAGGGGGTTGTTAAGAAGCGGTTGTTGTTGTGGCAAGTTTCTGCTCTGACAGAAATGGCGTCAAAGGCAGCGGGCGAGGGGGAAGCCAGCCGCGGGGGTGAGGCTCCGAGAGCAGCGGCTTTTTGTGGCTGTAGCGGAGGGGCGGCGTAAGAGAAAGGGAACTGTAAGAGAGGGCATCGGGCGAGGTAGGCTGAAATTGGGGGGGGGGGGGGGGGGGAAAGGGGGGTTCCTGCAAAAAAAAACTGCCCCCTCCCGGCACTTGCCGAGTGCGCCCCGTTGGAAAAAGGGGATGGTGCGGTGGCTCAGTGCTTTGTTTTAAATTTCAGGTCCAGCCTTGGCATTCGCTTTCGGATTTTTCTGCTGCAGCCTGAGTTCATCATGAAGGTAAAACCTCTTAGGGGAGGGGGGCAGAAATGGGGCGTCGCGGAGGGTTATGTTTCTCCGAGCTCCACTCGCTGGTGTGCTTATTGTAGCCGTTTTCAGTTCCACACTGCGGATTATTTCCCTCCCTTTAGCTTTCAGGCAGTGATGTGTGTGTATATATATGTATGTACTTTGACTTTTTAATTTTTTTTGGTTTTGTGTACTCTTGCTGGGTGTGTGCCGAATGCAAAATGTAAATCCAATGCTGGAGTTTCTCTTCTGCAAAACCTTTTCAAAGGGAAATGGGGACAAGGCTGCTTAGGCCAGAACTGATAGGTTGCTGGAGGAAAAGGAGGGGAATTTCATTTATTTATGGGGTGCTGGGGAGGCTTCTTTACCTTGTTTTGTTTTCGTTCATTGAAATTAAAGGATGGGTTTAATGTATTTTCTTTGTTCTGGAGTCTGGTTGAAGTAATTTTTTTCAGTTCCGGAAGTATATTTTAAAAGATTTATCTACTGCATTAATATTGCTGCAAGCTGTAGAGCATGTTTTTTTTTAAAGCAAGTCTTTAACCATGGGATACGATATTTGAGTATGTGTCTGTTAATTAAAAGGCACTGACAGTTGGTGATCAGAATCTTAAAAGTAAACGGGATGAAAACAAATATGTTCCTTATTTTTAAACTTTCAATAACCACACGTGCAGAATTTGGTGTAGATCATGAATATCATTGTTTTTTAAAAAACTATGGTAAAGTTGAGTTTCATATAGCCTGCTAAAGACATTTTTGAAAAACTGAAAATGAAACATTGTATAATACAGCAATTGATACACCCAGTCTACCATCTTTGTTATTAAATATTGCAAGTTACTTCATCTGTTAAGAAGGGCTTTTCTTGAGAGAAATAGGTAGCTGCAATCACACATCAGCTGTGCCAGAAACTCTAGGAATATCATATTAGATATTTCATACAAGTATGGCTGTTTTCAGCTATTAAGCTTCATAATGATTCTTTTTTCCATATGATATTCTTTCTGAAATTAGTATTAAGGTTGTTTGCAGTAACAAGGAGAACAAATTAATATTTTAGTGCAGTGTCTGTTCATTTAACTATAGGACTTATTTTCATTGTTTATGAAATTTTAAGACTGCTTTAGGCTGAAATTTATTTTGTTCAGAAATTATGATTACAGTTAAAGTACAGTAGTTATAGTTTTTAACAAATTATTGAATATTTGCATAAAATGAATGTTACAAATTACTTTATAATTGAGAAGGTGTAGTATATGGACAGTGATGTTTAATCCATGTTTCAACAAGTGGCTTTCTGATATAAACATTAACATATTTTAAAAACTTAGAAACTGTATAATTATAAATAGGTAGCAAAAGATTATAAATATTGGAAACAATATGATAGTTTAAAGAATTAGCTGCACTTTTGCAAATGAATTATTCCACCAAACCCTTACTTTTTGTATACCACTGTGGATTCTATAGTAGAATTTAGAATAGTATTTATACTATTGCTTGCCTCTGTACTTGGATACTCTTGTTTGAATCTGGTATCTCTTGCCGTTAGAAGCATACATGAACCCATTTCTTTAAACTTGGCCACAGCTGAACTGAAGGGTTGGGGGAAATTTCTCAGTCTGTTTATCTTTCTGTTTGACTTCTCTTCAGTGATAGAAAGTTGATGTACTTGTTTCTTTCTTACTATTTTATCCTGGCAATTATATGCCTGTTGGATAGCATGCTTACATAATGACTAGCTGGAGATTCAGTGAACCTTGTCCATGAGTGGGGATTTAACCTGAATTTCTTTGTTCCTACTTTTGTATAGTGTGTTAATTAGACCTATAATTCTAAGTTAATACAGCTAAAAATAATATTGAATAGGAGAGATGGAATGGATATAGTTTTCAGAATATATAAAGTAAAAATGAATGCTCTTCTTCAGATTAAAATTACAAACTGGTACTATTCTTGGAATTTGTTCTGCTGTGCTTATGGTCTTTTAAGCTTATATAAAGAGCAACTTGTTCTTTTGTTTTCATCATTAAATAAGTTCTGCTTAGCCAAGCCTGTTCTGTTGACTGCCAGATTAATCAAAATCATTGCTCCTCTTGATATGATGATCACTTTTTGTTTCTATTATGTGTCAATAGAATGTAAGAATGGTCTCAGGATCTTGGTCACATCCTACTAAATTCTAAATTTGCAAAATGATGAATAACCCAGCTAATAGTGAATTATTAAACATTCAATGGCTGTAACTTCTGGCAGTAAAAGGTTAAAAAACCTTATTAAGCCACTTCAGTTCATGACTCCATCCATGCAATTTTCTTGGCAATGATAGCAGTGGCTTGGCTTTGCCTTCTTTTGGGATATTTTTTTTTACTTCCTTGTTCTACCAATAGCTTCGGGATTCCCAGGTATTCCTCATCTAGGTAATCAACACTAACACTGCTTACCTTTTGAGAGGTCAGTTAGATCTTGTCAGCTGCTGAGCCACTTCTGGCAGTAAGAGTCTTCAATTAATCTGGAAACAAAAACAATGTCCCATGGGTCTAGTTGGAAGCTAGTTTCTAATATATTCCCAATTAGTTAGCAGTGGATTAATAGTGTTTATAAAGTACAGTGATACAGGGATGTAATTGTAAGTTTAGAGTTACATTTGAATTATAGGAATAAAGGAAGTACCATATTCTGCCAAATTTTGAACTTTGTAACTTTTTAGAGATAGAAATAACCAGATACAAAAGTGGGCAGGGAAAAAGAGGAAATTCCAGAAAGAGAAGATTTCATTCAAAGCATACCTGTAGACATTAATACTTCAACATTTCAGAATCCCTATCTACTTTGTATTTGATTATGCTAATTTTGTCCTCTTTGGAGAAGGCAGTATGTATACATAGGAACTAGAATTTACCCTAAAGAGAAACAAATTAGGATCTAGTTTAATTTTTGCATATTTCCTAACTTTTGTGATGGACAAATCCTGATGCTTACAGGATTACATTCTAGTTAGTGTCTTAAGTAATGCACTATGAGTATTTAATTTCATTTACTTAATTTCATTTACTTATCTAATTTATAGAACCTCCCATCTCACAAGCAAGTGCGTCTTGGTGACATACAATATGTAATGGGTGGCTTACAACACATAACAGTGCATTTTAAATAATAAATAACAATTACAAATCGGGACTCAGCTAAAGTAAAACTAAAGTTTGATGTATGTTTTCTCCTACTTCAAACTGAAGAAGGTGAAAGGAAGAGGCATCTTTCTAGTTTGGAGCCTCACATACATTCATTCTTGTTGGTGCAACTTTATGGATTATCTTTGTTTTTTAAAGTAGTGCATGTTTACATTCATTCTTAAAAGAATCCAAGTTAAGAACATGTGATAAATGGATGAGCTGGATGAGATGAGAAGCTTATCTTAAGTTGAGTAACAAACACATACCAGAAGAGAAAGTGTTGAGATGAAAGAAATTCAGCAAATGAAGTATTTTTTTTTTCCTCTCCTTATTTCCCCTTGGTTCAGTTTTCTGACTTCCTTTTCTTGCTTCAGTGAACCATATTTAGGTTTTATACGTCTATGCAAATATTCAGATTAAGTACAGCAGTATATCACTGAAAATACATTTCAGAAGAATGTACAAATTTATTGAAATCGCATAGTTTTCTATAAGTAATGTTGAAATGTGATAGGTTTTATGGATCGCCTTTAAAAAAATTTCCCCCTGTTACTTCTAATGCTAAAATGCTCTGCTTTTATTGCTGAGAGGATCATGTGGATAATTGTATACTGTTTTTAAATGAATCATGAATTCACTGAAGTAATTTATTTGATCCCTTCTGAAAAACCCTTTGTAAAAATGTCAGGTATGTTCTAATGTTTGCTCAAAAGTAATTATAAGTTAAACAAATTTTAAATTTTGTTGGATTCAAATGGTTCTTAATAGGGAAGGTAGAATATTTAGATTATGTTTAATGAAAACTAATTCATATTTCCTATATTAGTTTGCATTAAATACAATTTAAATGCATTTTTAAATTGAATGTTGCTGGTATAAAAACTCAGAACTTTTTTATTTTTTTATTCTTCTACAAATAGTAAAATAGTCTTCATATGTTTTGTTCATCAATCTATGATAAAATTATGAAAATACTTTGGGGAAGCTGTTTACAAAATGGCATATCTTATGGAAAACTGTGGAAACAATGAAGGTATTGGTGGATATTGTACAGAAAAATGTACCCAGTTACACACACATAAGCTTTAAAAATTGAAGTTGATGCAAAAAGGAAGAATTATTTTCTGCAAGCAATATAGAAATCAGGACAAATGAGTTAGTTTCTGAAAACTAAGCCAG